GAATAATCTTTCAAAACCTTACTTCACCCAAATTACACAACTTTCTTGCTCAATTTCAACATTATAAAACTCGAACCTCACAAACCAATGCTTCACTAACTACAAGGGTTGGTAGAACGTAGGCTGATATGTTTGTAATATGGCTAAGTCAAGAAAGGGGAAATAAGGCTAAAATTGGTTGGCAAGTGGGTGAATGTAAAAATGAAAACCAAATTTGTAATAAAACACAAATAAAACAAAAAAAATGAGAAGAAATGCCATCTTCCTCCTGTAGAGTTATATAGTCACGATCTTGGGAGCTAGACGCCAACACCAAGATTAAGATATGCATAGTTAAGGATCCTAAATGCCACTCACAAGAATGATGATGTCTAGAACAAATGACGCTAACACGGGATAAGAAATATAGAAAATACCAACCAAGGGAATCCTATCCACCATAGAGAGCAACACCATCTTACCACTTTCCCGTGAACTAGGGGTTCAAACGTCCTCAAAAGTTCAAAACCGGGCTACCTTAGCTTACAATGTGTCTAATTCAACCCAAAGCATTCTCAAACCGTGTAAACCCTCAACAACTAGGACGATAAGCATTCAAAGACACATCGTCAAGAGAGGCAAACCAATCCAAAAGAGTGAGCAAATTACAAATCAAAAATCATTTCAAATTGTCATAATTATGCTTGTAACACAAAAAGGGGGAAACAAAATAGAAAAAAGAGGAAGAAATCAAAAAGGTTCACATACGAGGCATATAATCCAATTAAATCTCGATCGTCATACAAGTGATCGTTCGATAACAACATCAACGATCCCAGGTTCCATCGAACCAAAAGCAAACATCCTGGAACCATTCAACTTCTTCCTAAGCTAAACCTAAGCTAAACACCCAAAGAAAAAGAAAATAAAAGAGAGGAAAGGTCTCACCAAACGCCACTTGAAATGAAGACAAGATAAATTATGCAACCTCACCGAGGGGGCTCGATTTGCCCCTTAACTTCCATCATCTCCATTTCCAAGCTTGAAAAGTGAGCCGAAACGAAAGAACGACTGGGATAAAACAAAAATAAATAAAAAAGTTAAAAATCAAAGAAGGAAACTAAAACTTTAAACAAAATGAAGAAATGGAAATAAAATAAAACAATCTAAAAAAAATGTATTAAGGGAAATTTGGATTATCGGGAGTTTGGATTTTTCTTCATGGGAACGCCATCACCTACACAAACACTTGAAAATTCATTAGGAACAGCTCATCAAAATCACCCAAAGACATCATAATCACAATCAAAAAGATAAATCAACATCAAAACATGATAAAGCCAACCGAACCATGTAAGCTCTACCACCTACAATGAATTCCCCCTCACACTATCATGATGATAAGCCTTCCCCCACTTTATCCAAAAAACATCCCTTTGCTTCTTACACACAGCCCCACACTAAAACAATGCACCGTCTGCGGTGCGCAAAATTAAAACATTGGGAGGGGGCAAAGGGGAGAAATAAAGAACAAGGGGGGCTAGTGGCCACTAGGGCCGGCTTCGTCATCATCTCCATCATCCTCGATGTCGTAAGAGAAACCGTCTGGAGGGATGCCGTGTGGGTCCTAACCACCAGTGAAACCCGGAGGCCAACCATAGTGACCTCGAAAGAGGTCTTGTTGCCATTGGGGCAACGGGTCGAAAGGGGTGGGAAGTTGAAGAGGGGAAGGGTGGGTAGGGTCGACATATGGATAGTTGGGGTCACCCCTAAAATCGCTCCCCCCGGGGCACGATAATCGTACCCAGTTTTTGTCGGGTAGTCTACCCGGGAAACATCTTGGGAGGAGGGCCTTTGCCAATAGGTCCAAGTAGGTTGCGATCCCTGCCACTGAGGGACCGGGCCTTGTTGGGGTGGCCAATAAGGGAAATTAACCGAGGGCGTGACCTCATCTCTGTCCACGGCCGCACCATAGAGAGCTTGGGTTTGCATAAACATACCCTGCTGGTTCTCCATTAGGCTTTGCATGCCAAGTTCCATGCTCATCATTTGTTGTTCAAGGATACTCATGCCTTGATGTTGTTCAAGGCTACTCATCATTTGTTGTTGTTGTTGTTGTTGCTGATATTGTTGTTGTTGTTGTTGTTGTTGTTGTTGTTGTTTTTGTTGTTGTTGTTGTTGGTGGTGGTGTTCGACTACCATATTCCTTGCGCCACCCAAAGCAGTGGGTAACACACCATTGTCTCGCGAAATTTTCCATACATTCCTAGCGTTCATCTCCAAGGATGTACGGCTGGGGTAAGGCAAGATACAATGGTGCTCGCGCTGAAAAATCCAAGCATGAAAATTAATGGCATCTGAAGTTCCTTGGAGGAACCCCGACCTTCTCATTTGTTGTATGTCAATGAATAAATCCTTGTCGGCCCCAATTTGAGGGCATGAGGGGAAGAAGCATTCATAGTTGAGCCGTCTTGTGACCCGACTTGATTGTCTCGCAGCACATGACGAACCAGTACCCCATGTTGAGCCGCCCTCTCAACTCCTCCCTAGTAGCAACCACAAAGTAAAGAGCTCTTCATGCGAGAGCTTACTCAAGTCTTGCTTGCTAAACACCGCATACCCCAGAATGCGGTGAACGATACGGAGAACAGGGTGGATAATTTGGTTGGCCACCGAATATCTAGTGTTGAACCCTTTAAAATCGGTAATCGTTTGCCACCATCGAAATGCATCATACTCTGGGAATAGACTCAATGAAGGGGCAAGGAGGTTCGCCTCGGGGTTCAAATCCAACATTGTATTAAGATCATTAAGAGTCATAGTGTACTGGTTGTTGAATAGTTGGAAGGAAATTTGGAATCGTTGTTCCCATAAGGCTCTTTTTCAAATGAGGCCAAGAATTTGAAGGTGGGCTCTTTATATGTTCGAAATTGCTGCTTGATGAACTTATTCATCCCTAAGTTGTCAAGGAGCGACCTTATGTCATCGTCAATCCCCAAAGCTCTCATGGAGCGTTGATCATAGTGTCTCGTGGGATTTAGCTTTCGTCCTTGAAGGTCATTAAAGAAAGTAGCACGGACCTTGTTCAAGAATTTCAATCGAGGGGGAACATTTGTTCCTTGAGCTTGAGTTTGAGTACTCGGTTCCTTAACCATTAATCGGGGCTCTTTTCTACTCTTCCTTTTGTTTATTGTGGCCTCAAGCAATACAAACAACAAAACCAAAAGAGAACTCTCTTTGAACTCAACTAATAATTGAAACACAACAACAACAACCCAAGACTTAACAATCTGAAAAGGGTTAGTACCAAAAACTAACCACACAAATATAGCTCCAAAAACAACTAGAATCAACAACAAAGCACTCAAACATAATACATTATGATAATAAGCAATTTTCATGAAAATAGTTGCATTATCATCAATACTAACACAAAATTGGTCAACTTAATTCCATGAAAATAGCTTCCAAATCCATAATGTTAACAACAATGTCCCAAAATCACTAAATATCACACTAACAACCAACAAACACTTAGCAAAGAAAATTAAAATCACATGAAACTCACTCAAGCTAAACCATGCTTAATAACTAAAAATTTTGCATAAACAAGTGAAACTAAGCAATAATATAGCAAAATTTAAAGTTATACCACTTAGTAAAAGCTTGAACACCACTAAGAACTCCTAAGAACACCACCTTCAACTAAGCTTGTACACCATAAAAATGGAGGATTTTTGGGTATTTTGGAGAGAGAAAGTGGGTAAATTTGTGAGTAGAGTGAAAATTTTTGACGGATTTGAAGGAAAATCAATGCAATTTTTGAGAAATGGGTGAAATTGAAGGGTTAGGGTTTGAGTTTGCGAGGAGAGAGAAAAGAGCATGAAATATGGCTTGCGAAAATATAAGGGCAAAATGGGGAAGAAGAGGTTAAAACCCAATTTTCCCAGCTCTGCGCGCCCGCACAGGGGTCGCGCAGACTCACTGCCTCAAATCTCCGATTTTGAGAAAAAGTGTGCGGGTTCGGACAATACTTGCGCGCCCGCACACCCTTCCCTGCGCGCCCACACAGAGGTCGCACACTAGGTCACGCAAACCTTCTGTCTCAAATCTCCAATTTCGAATAAAAGTGTGCGGGTTCTGACAAGGCTGCGCACCCGCACACTTTACATTGCGCGCCCGCATAGGATTCGCGCACAGGGTCGCGCAGAGCAAACTTCAATTTCTTCCTCCTCTCATCTTCGATATAGATAAACCTTTACTCCTTCATCATCCAAACACCTATCAACCAAAAAGGAAAAAATAAAATTCAAATTCAAAAAACAAAGTGAAATCGGAATGTATAAAAAAATATAGAAAAGAGTTAGAAACTCGGGTTGCCTCCCGACAAGTGCTTCTTTATGAGGTCACTAGCTTGACCATGAGGAAAATTCTTCAAGTGGGAGGCTTGGGATCCAAAGGGTCAAGCATTATACATTTTATGACACCAACTTCTTCATTGCAAAAGTAATTCTTTAAACGATGACCATTAACCATAAACTTGTTACCATCCGCATCTAACTCAACGGAGCCATACGGAGTAGTCTTTGATATCACAAAAGGAACCGAAAACTTTGATTTGAGTTTACCCAAAAACAAACGAAGCCTTGAGTTGAAAAGCAAAACCTTGTCTCCAACCTTAAAGCTCTTATTTCGAATATGTTGGTCATGCCACTTTTTGGTCTTCTCCTTATATAACCTTGATCTCTCATAAGCATCATATCTAAGCTCTTCAAGTTTATTGAGCTTAAGCAATCTCTTCTCACCGGCCAACGATAAATCCATATTAAGCTCTTTGATGGCCCACCAAGCCTTATATTCTAACTAAACCGGCAAGTGACAAGCCTTTCTATAGACCAACCTATAGGAGGTCGTGCCGATTGGAGCCTTATACGCCGTCCTATGAGCCAATAGTGTGTCATCAAGTTTGAGAGACCAATTTCCTTGATTTGTTCACCATCCTTTCAAGAAGATTTTTGATTTCACGGTTCGAGACCTCCACTTGTCCTTGTGTTTGAGAGTGGTAAGGTAATCCAACCTTGTGAATAAATTCCATACCTCTTGAGAAGAGCTTCAAATTGCTTTTTGTTGAAATGGGAGCCTTCATCACTAATTAGCACCCTTGGAACCCCAAACCTAGGAAAAATGATCTTCTTTAGAAGCTTAAGCACAACCTTGTGATCATTGATAGGTGAGGGTATGGCTTCAATCCATTTCGTCACATAATCCACCCCCCTAACTTCTAAGGGTTCAACTTCTAAAATACTTTGTTGGGGCATTTCGTCCCTCTTGGTAATGCCTCCGCTCCTTTGACATCTACCACATTGCTCAACAAATTTGTGGGCGTCTCTATGCATTATCGGCCACCACAATAAAGATTGAGAGATTTTTGCCACTGTTTTGTCAACACCACCATGTCCTCCATATGGTAGTGAGTGGAAATGCTTAAGAACTCCTTCAATTTCATGATCTGGAATACACTTTCGAAAAAGGCCATCTCCACATTGCTTTAATAGGTATTGGTCATTCCAAAAGTACCTCCTCACTTCCTTCAAAAACCTTTTCTTTTGTTGAGAAGAAAACTCCAGGGGAACGACTCCACAAGCAAGATAGTTGGCTATATCCACATACCAAGGGGTAGAAGTTGACACCATAGCCATGAGAGTCTTGAATCCTATCTCATCATTAATCGGTACATCCTCCTTGTTCTCGAAAGGTAACCTAGACAAATGATCTGCTACATAGTTCTACGCTCCCTTTTTGTCCCTTATTTCCATGTGAAAGTCTTGGAGAGAGAGAACCCAACGGATTAAGCGAGGCTTTGCTTCTTTCTTGGTCATGAGATATCGCACCGCGATGTGATCCGTGTACACAATAACTTTTGAGCATATAAGATAGGACCGAAACTTATCAAATGCAAACACTACCGCTAGCATCTCTTTCTTCGTTGTTGTATAATTGTTTTGAGCCTCATCGAGAGTCCTACTGGCATAGTAGATGACACATGATTTTCCTTATTTCTTTTGACCAAGAACTTTACCTACTGCAAAGTCACTAGCATCGCACATTAGCTCAAAAGGCAAGCTCGAATCCGAAGCTTGCACAACGGGAGAAGAAATGGGAGCTTCCTTGAGCTTACGAAATGCCTCAAGGAAAGCCTCATTGAAGCTAAAAACAACATCCTTTTTGAGTAAATCGGTCAAAGGTTTGGCGATTGATGAAAAATCTTTGATAAACCTCCGGTAAAAACTGGCATGCCCAAGAAAAGCTCGTATCCCCGTGATGGAAGTAGGAGGGGGCAACTTTTCAATCACCGAAACTTTTGCCAAATCAACCTCAATGCCATTTTTTGAAACCTTATGGTCGAGGACAATGCCCTCCTCGACCATGAAGTGGCATTTTTCCCAATTCAAGACCAAAATCGTCTCTTGACACCTTTTCAAAACTTTTTCAAGGTTAAAAAGACAAGTGTCAAAAGAAGACCCACCAATCATAAAAATTAATCATGAAAACTTCAATTTCTTTTTCAGGCATCTCAGAGAAAATAGAGGTCATGCATCTTTGAAAGGTGGAAGGTGAAGGAGTTATGTCTTCGATAAGTGCAATTACTAGATATATCAAGGATCACTATTATGGAGATAATAAGTTCGTTCTCTTGGGGCGTCATCATCTGTTGCTAGAGTATGAGAGATGATCTTTGGGATAGTAAAATATCCCAAAGCCCGCTAGAATGGATCCTATGAGGTCACACACAAAGGTATTGGGTTAAGCAAGTAAGAGGCCCATTATTGGGCCTTATGAGTATTTAACTGATCATGAATAGGATTAGGCTAGTGTAGTTTGATTGGGATTAGGAATTGGGCTTGGTCATGGACTCTTATTTATGGATATGATCTATAAATAAGATCTATGCCTAGGGTTGTAATATAAATAGAGTCACAATCAACTTATAGTGAATTGTGAATCAAGGCAACCAAATCCCAATACCCTCACCTCCCTCTCTCTCTCTCACGGCACCCCTCTCCCCCCTTGGACTTGCGGCCGACCACCCCTGGTGGTGTTCACGGTGGTTCGTGGTGGTTTGTGACTAGTTCGTTGCTCATACCTCTCCGTAGAAGGTCAATTGAAGAGTTCGATCGCGACTAACTAGCATTAGTGGAGGTCTTAACCTGTGCCTGTGGACCAAGTATAGGAATCACGTTTGAGGTTCTTTGTCTCCCTTGTTCTTGCTCGATTCCTAGTGGAATCACGCTTCAAAGGTATAATTCTTACTCTTTATGTGTTATGCATAAGATCCTTGGTTAGGTGCTATATGAATATGATTCATAATTATTTCCGCTGCGTAGTACCTATAATCCCCTACAGTGGTATCAGTTAGCCTCTTGCAATTACATATATTGAGTATTAAACCTTTGTTGATCCACAATTTTAATTCAATTAGGAGGGAGAATAATTTAATTATAGGTCAATTATTATAATAAATATGATTTAACAACATAGAATCATTAAAGTTGTTTAATTTGCTCCATATTAGCCCCATATGATCCGAAAATAGCCCTAAAATATTCGAAAATTCGAACCCCCCCCCCCCCCCTTAATAATTTCGAAATTTTCGAAATCATTAACCCTAATTTCTGAAATTTGTGTTTTTGTATTTTGATTTAATTCGAAATTTTAAGTTTAAATAATTTAATCTAATTGATTTCATGATAAATTATGAATTTTTCATGATCAACCTATTTAATTTAAAAGTTAAATTGAATTGGGATTAAATTCATGAAGAACCCTAATTTTAAAATTGAATATGATTTAATTTTAAAATTGGGTGGACCACATTAATTTTAATTTTAATAAAAGTGTTTTGTTTTAAATTAAATATCAAAAAAAAGAGAATTGAGGTGCGGCAGCCGCGGCTAGGTGGCGCGGCCATGGCGACTGCCGCACCGGTGGTGGTCCAGGAGGTAGGGCGAGCTGGGCATGGGTCAGTCAAAGGGGCAGCGCAGCAGTGCACCACCCCGATGTGTGTGGTGCTGCTGTTGTCCGCGCGTCGCTACAGGGGCAGCGCACACCGCAAGGTGTGCGGACACCGTGGCCGGCTTCGGCTGGCCCCGCCACGGTGGCTGACGCGGGTTTTCAAAAAAAAAATTATTTTATTTTAAATAAAATCAGTTTTCAAAATTAAAATTAAAATATAAGTTTTGATTTTGAAAGGATAATTAACAAAATTAAAGTTGTTGATTTTGTTAAGATAGGATAATTATGGAGCAAAAGATTCAATTTGGATAATAATTGATTAAATAATGTGATTATCCCATAATTATTTTGGATATTAATTGATTTAAAATATGTGATTGGCAAGTAATTAGGATAGAATCTCCTAAAAGTTAGGATAATCATGGAAAATAAATATGATTTATCTTCCATAATTAAAATAAGATTTGATTCTATCTCATACCTAAATTAAAATATATGATATTTTATAATTGGTTATGAATAATATATGATATTATCTAATTACAGTAATTAATTAAAATATGAGATATTTTAGGAGCCATGTTTCCTTTACTGTGAACATTCGATGTTGTAGTTTAGGAAAGCATGATGAGTGATTTATTATATGGAATTTTATAATATATGATGTTATATATTGCTATATAGACTAGTATGGCCCATAGATTCTAAATACGATCTGCGCATCGTTTCGTATTTTTGTAATCTAAATACGGTCTGCGTACCGTTAAGTATTTTTGTAATTTATTTTATTTAAGTAGTAGATAGAATAGAATAGTATTACAGGTTGCAGTTAATCCAAGAATCCATGGAGTGGAGGCCCAAAGGAGCAAGATGGATGAGATCCATGAAGGTTCTAGTGGGAGCTTTTGCTTTGTTAGTTTTCTTAGGATTAAGGGGCCATACTATGTCATGTTTTATTTATGCATTAGTAGATTATGCATGTTAGATTTTATTTATGTTGTTTGATGATGCGCTAGAGTTCACTAAATAATCACAACATAATAAATCTAGGTCCCAGTAATATTGAGGTTGCTTTTCCAATTAAAAACCTAGTGAAACCTTCGATATTTATGGCAGGTCATGCCTCAGCTGGGTGTCATACTATATCTTAGGGGAGTGGGGGTAAATCACGTTTTACACTTTTAATTGGTTATACTCAACGAGGTTACCTAAAGAGTTTAGAACCTTGAAGCGAAGGGTAATAATTAAACATGTGATGGTTAATTATTTAACCAAGAATTACAAAGAGTTGTAATCAGTAAAGAGTTTACTTACCTTGAAAATGCAATAGTTAATGGTAGGGCCTCAGTCCGGTCAATTATTGCACAAATAAAGGATCTTGGAATCATTATAATCAATAGGGATCAATTAAATTGAATGAATGTTTTAAAGTTACCAGTTTTATAATCGCTTATGGTACTTTACAAGTTTATTAAACATTTATTGAACTTTAATTTGCCTCGTTTGTTTTGTTTGTAGATGAATAACTTATACGATAACACAATTTTACCAATGAAACTTAACTTAAGGTTGAATCTCAGAAACTTCAGGGAATGGGAAAAGGAGTTGAGAAATGTTCTCACAAGCCATGGGCTTGAATCTCGTTTATACATTCCTGTTGAGAGCAAATACACAAAGAAGTATGGAGCTGAAAGGCATGCTAAAATTGTTCCAGCTGCAGAGAAAATCAGAGAGCTCATTTTAGAATCTATTCCAACTTATTGGAAAAGAAGATTCAGGCACTATGAGCTAACCATATTGTACAAATGTCTTCGTGCCATCTGTCGAGGTGGCATAGGAGCATTAGGAAGTGGAGGCATAAATGATCAAAATGTAAGAGAGGTCGTTAACTCGATCCCTTAGATTTACTATTCCTGGACTGATAGTGTAAGGTATGAGGCTTACAATGTCCATTGTAAAATAATGGCTAAAAGACTCATGCCTGGTCAGTCAGTAAGGGCCCATGTAAGGGAATTGATTGAAATGTTCAATCAAATGGATGTCCTTGGAAAACCGATCGATGATGACTCTGCACATGATATTATTTTGTTCTCACTCCATGATGGTTTTGACATTGTCAAGCTCACTCATAATGATGAGGGATCTTCGGTTACATTGATCAATCTGTTGCTTAACCATGCTGAGGAGTTCCTGAAGAGGAGAGGAAGCGAATGCTTCTTTTGCGGTAGTTGGCCATGCCATACACCAGGGTGTCCCCACTATACACCAGTGAAAACTGAAGGTAAAGAGTTACTTGATGTTTTCGTTGTAGAAATTAATCTTACTTCATCTTCCACTTGGGTATTTGATACCGGATGTGGTGCTCATATCATTAATAACGTGCAGGGCTTGAAAGAAAGTAAGAAGTTAGCAAGAGGGGAAGTAACACTTCAAGTAGGAAATGAAGCAAAAGTTGTTGCACTTGCTATTGGAAGCTATCATTTAAGACTTCCTTCTGGACTTATTTTGGTGCTTAATAACTGTTATTATGTACCAACAATAACTAAAAACATTATTTCAGTTCCTGTTTTAGATTCTAAAGGATTTTCATTTGAAATAAGAGACAAGTATTGTTTTATTTCGAAAGAAAATATGTTATATGCTAACTCCAAATTAATTAATGGTTTGTATGTATTAGAATATACAA